AGCTGTTATAAAGCTGCATTTGATAGCGCATTTACATCCATCACACGAGAGAGAGAGAGATAGATAGATAGAGAGAGAAATGCTGACGATTGTCGGCTTATACGCGCGACAAAAAAAAAACAGAAACAAATCAACAGACGTGACGCGCGTATTCAAACACACCTGTTGTGCGACCATAATCTTCCTAACAGACCACTTTGGAGTGTAAAAATATTCCGTGTTATTTATCATGTTATAAAAATATCATTAGTGTCTCTTTTTACGTAGTGAAAAAAATTCTTTGAGCGCTTCGTTCGAAATTAGTTACAATCCTCCACCAGTCTTCTTCGAAGAAACATTAAAGGAGCTAAATGCGATACGGAGAAGAGCACGTATAACGCGCGGTTCTTTATTCCTGTTTATCGATCGGCGACGGAACCGGTACGTGTAATGTACTGTACGATGTTTCGCGTAAAACCGGGCAACAAAGAGTATACGTTCGTACGGTAATTTCGTGCCGGCCGGTGCTGTTGATATTCGTGAGGTACAAACACACACACACGCGCACACGAATGAAACGTTCGGCGAACTGTGACGATAAGCACGTCACAATAAAGACGACAATATCCGTCGACGAAGACGACGCGCGGCGCGCGTTCGAATTTAGCCACATGTTGGCGATATAAATAGATAGAAATAACGTTCTGAGGTGTCTAGGACCATTTCGACTCGCTCTTTGGACGGGGCTGCGCGAATTATCCGCATTTTCTTGTAAGCCCCGTAACGAGCGAGCAAACTCGCTTCCGCGATTCGCCGACGAAAAATCTCGATTGCGCTTGGGAGAGAAACCGGTCATTAAAAGGCCCGCAATTTCGAGCCGTTGTATATCGGTGTTTCCAGTTTTCTTAATCTTGCGATACCGTACGCGACAGCTCGCGCGCGCGGAATATTTTATACAGCGGCTGAGAAATTATGCGGCAATCATCGCCGCTCCGAGTTGCAACGCAGCAGCAGCAGCAGCAGCTGCTGCTGCTGCTGTCATGCCGAGCGCATTTTATCGTGGTTAGACTCTCGCGATGATGCGAGAGTCACGCGTGACCAAAGCGGTGAAGCAGCCGGACGAAAATTCGCAATTTCCCCGAGGTATGCGAGGGAAGAGAGCAAGATTACTTCCTTAATAACAAATTTGCGAAATTATGAAGAATTAATTATAATTGAACAATCGAATAAAAAACCAAAAGTAGAATAACAACCTAATTATATCCGACTTTTTCAATTGTGCGCGTGTAACAAATGAGCGCAGACAAATGAGAACGCGCTGTAAAAAAAACCGTAAAACAGAGATAAACATGACGCAGTAACTGCTTGCAACAAAGACACAAGAGCGAAACGATGATTGCTGCAGACATTTATATCCCCGAGTTAATTCGAATCGATGATTCGCCGCGATCGCGTCGCCGACTCGCGTCGCCGATTGCTCTACTTTGCGATCTACAATCGAATCGATATCGGCGCGTAACAGTGCCGTTACCTCGACGCAGCACCATACTGACAGCCAAACTCGAGAGTCACTCTCATAACAAACTGCGCACACACAGATACACACGCACACACGGGAACAATGACGATAAATCGCGCGCGTGCAAGACCCCGACCACCCCGGAATCTCTTGACAGCGCGCACACGCTGCACTCGAAAGCACGTCGCACTCTGACGAATGAACGATGCCATAAGCGAATTGAATGTGGCGAGCCGCTAGGCTCTGCCATCGTGTATCGTCTCTCCGGAGAGCGAGAAGAGAGAAGGGAAATACCGCTCTCTCGACGTAAGCATTTCCAACACATTGTATACATCAAATTAGATTCAAGCGGTTTCATTACGCTCCGCTCTCGGTGTCGTGACTCCCATTGGTCGTCCGTGTTGTTCTCGTTTTGAATTTTGACCTAATAAAAATATTTGTTTTCTAATTTGTGTATTTTTTTTTTTTTTATCATAAATCATCCTCTCTCAAAAAATGATATTTTTCTATAGAATTAATTTGTGACAATATCTAATAATAATATTGTTATTACTACAAATTTAAGCTCGCGAAAGTATTCAACCAACACAGATAGCATTTACAGTGAATAAGATCTAATACATATGTGGTTTTTAAACGTGTAAATTAATATATAAACAGAACCACACGGTTGAACATTGCGAGAAATTCACCTAGTGCCTTGATGACCGATAAAAGGCGACTACAAGGAATGCGGGAAATCCGGATTCGACTCCTGGCAGAGATATCTTTTTCTTGCAATGGGTTTTTTTTTTTTTTTATTTTATAAGAAGATTAATTGGACAATTTGTATATTTGAAAGCACTTTAAATGAATTTTAAAATCAATTCAAATTTCTCTATTAAATTGAACACGTTTAAAAAGTATATTTTTTGGTTTGTATATTGACCGTAAAAACTATTTATTAATTGATTATTATTTGCGTCACTTAGCTCCCGCGCGTCTTAATTCAATTTCTGCAATTATTCCGCCTCATCTTCCACCACTACATTTTTTATCAAAGAATTATTTAATGGTTTTATAATTACAATTATTATCGTAACAACTCGCGTACAAGAACCGCAAAGCATGCAACGAACGAATAAACGGGTTATACGCGCACGCACGTCTCTCTCTCTCGACATATTCTCTTTTTTTTTTTTTTTTCACGTGCAAAACACGCGTAACGGTTTGCGCGACCTTTTACGCGCACACGGCTACACACAATGACGTACGTACGTCGAACCCTCGGTTTAATGACGTTGATTGACAGTTCGGCAAAGTGGCGAAATCACTGAATTCAGCACATCTCTCACGTCTCGCCAGACAAGGATTTTCTACCTGCCGAAGAGAGGCCAGAAAAGAAAGAAGAGTAACGACCCATCTCATCAGTGCGGAAGTGCATGAAGAATGAAGGCGCACGATCTTGTCCAATCACATATTTTTTCGAGTGACGCATCGATCACTTTGCGCGTTGCTTACGCGCGTGTAAGCTTTCGAGAACGATTTTAATAAATTGCTCTTAAATAAAAGATCCTTGACGCTCGATTTTCTCTATCCACGTTACGTGTTCAAGTGTCAAGTGAAAAATTTGAGATAAAACTCAAGTGAACCGGTTTTCTTTTCTTTTCTTTTAATGTACAATACGCGCCTGGTGCTGACTCATCAACCAAAATATACACGTTCGCGTCAGAATATATTTCTAATTCTTCAGAATTGAATATACACACGCGGGAGAGAACGAGCGCGTATTATCGGCTCACGGCATTAGAAACCGAACGACGAGAGAAAAAAAAAACTGCGCCGACTGCATCGCGCGGCACACGTGACTGCACTTACCAAATCGATAGCACACCACAGCACGCCACGATTCACCGGGAGAAAGAGTAAGAAAAAAAAAAAAAAAAAGAGAACAAACACGACCAACAACACCGCCGTTGTAGCAACACGATGTAAACGGTTAAAACGATCACCGTTGTGTCGATCCTGTTGTCGACAACAGGTCCGAATCGCGCGGGCCGGATTCGCCTCCGCGGAATGTCGACACACACGGTAGGGTTTTGCAAAATTCGCCGACTTGTTCTCGGGCCCGCGGATCGCGGTCGCAGCAGAGAGACCGCCTGCGAGGAAAGTACGGCTCCAAGGACGGCTCGCTAAGCCGACGATAAATATCTCCGCGAAGGAGAATCGAGAGATCGCGAAACGGAGAACCGAGACTCTCTCGTCCTGCGCGATGAGAAACGAAACGTTCGATTTTTCCACAACTCGGTTCGAGAAACCGAGTCATCGGATCGATGACTGGGTTTCCCGTGTACGCCCAACAATGACCGGTTTATAAATATTAAATGTGTCATGTTGTGTGCGTGTGTACGAGGCGTGCGATTCAAGAAACAAACAAATTGTACGGAAACACGTTACGGAAACATTATAAGAGAACATATTGAATCAAACAACGCGAAAAACGGAGATAAATTAAATAACATTGTGAATATTTTTCGCCAATTTTTTGCGTCAAATCCTTCAACGGCGTTGTATCGAGTGCGCCGTTTTATTATCGCAATGGAAAAAAAACACACACACTTCTTTCTTGTTAAGTAAAAAGAAACCAACCAAATAACGTGAATCGGAGCCGGGAATACTCGAGAATTTGTCCCGATAAGTACTTATCTACAAAACGTTCTAATCTTTTTTTCCCTTCACACAGGTTTTGACTCATCTTCATGAAACACTTCGAAATTCACAAGCGATCGGAGCGATACGCAAAAAATTCTCTCTCTCTCTCTCTTTTACGTGAGATCGCACCTTGAAGATATTCGTTGTGTGCGATTCCGGTTTTCGAACACGCTCGAAAACAACGAAAATCACAAAGCTCCTCGATGAAAGGTGTCCTGCGGCGCGTGTTTACCTGCTCGCAATGATAAATTTTCAAAAAAAGGTATCGTTTTCAGATAAGGTTTTCGTGAGAAAAACGCGCAGGCAACGCAAATTTTGTTGTTTGGGAAAAAAATCGAAATTACGAGAAGAAGAGAGAATAAGGAAACCGACCGGAAAAAGGGAACGAAAGGAGGAAACAAGGCAGGTCTCTCGTCAGCACCGCCGACGGAACTTGTCACGTAGAGCGCGTGCACACAACGTGCCTCTGGGCCACACGCGATTGTACATGTGTATGTTGTAATATTTACTCACGATATACGCGCGTTCCGCGAATGTCGAGCTCCAGGATGGCCGGCGAACGGTAGGGTCCTCGTGTGATGATTGCCGGATTGCCGCGCGTGCTGCTCACAAAGCACTCACCCACCTCGCAACAGTTTAGCGGGTGTGCCCCCGCGAATCTCTTCTCTCCACGCGACCACGCAACAACACCCGTCAAACGCGACACTCGCCCGCCATGTTGCCACAGAGCGACGCTCGCGCCGCCGAGCGGCGTTGCGGCGAAGCGCGTCAGTTTCGAACGCGTCAATTCTAAACCGCGTTTTCGACGTCTCGTCGTTGTTGTCGCCGAGTTTGTTACGTTTGGGAAATAAACAGCGTTTCGAACAACTGAGAGAAAAAAACAGTCAAGCAACAAACGACAATTAAAAAAAACTCTTGGGAAGATAAAGACGCGAGAAAAGTGAGCTTCGAAGAAACGCGTGCTGCACTCCCGTGTGATCTTCGATCGGGCTAATGTTTTTCGCAAGATTGATACGTGCGAGTATCGTCGCCGAGGCCGCCGGATTTTGACGCATTCGCATCGCATATCACGGGTATATCTACTGGTGCCGCCGACGCCGGAACGTACGTGTACTTTGCTTTGCACATGTGACGAAAATAGGTTAGTTCTTTCGTTGAATTGTACGTCGTTCGCAATTTCTGATTTTGTAAATCACTCGATTGTAAGTCGGATGCTCGCTCGATCGCTAAAATTGTCACGCGCACGTTTTAAATTTAATATTTTAATTATTTTTGATATTCTGTTCGCAGGATTAACATATTCGTACGCACGTGCCGCAGAACCATGTGCTTTTGCGATCATCGAACAACAAGAACGAATAATCGAGAAATATATTGCACGGTAAGTGCATAACGTCGTGTAATATACTGAGATTTGTTGAAGAGATCAGTTGAAATTGTCAATCAGGTGACCTTTTAAGATTATCGAATTGTTGTATAAACATTTGAGAGAAAAGAAAAGAGAGAAATAGAGAGGTTAGGTTCCGCCACACAATCGCAAACAGTGCGAGAATTACAAACCACTTGCGATTTATGAGTCGTGACGGCAGTTTGTTTTCTGTTGAACAATATATACTTGATACTTACGTATCATACACAAAAAGAAATATATATTTAATATAAATATATATATGTATGTATATATATTAAAGAAATATATATTGTATGCATGCAAAAGCTTTGCATGATTAGACAATTTGTAAAGAAAGATCTACCGAAGAGACAGAATTGTGGATTTGTCCGTTTTCTACACTTTAACATTGAGTAAGCTCGAGGAAAACATGGCGGATAGGAAAAGTTTGACGTTAACGCAGCAAAGATACGGATTGTTCTCGGATAACTTGTTCAATAGCACGGAGGTTCAAGAAGTCTTTCAAAAGCACTGGCACGAACGTGTGAAGATATATCACGACGTTGACAGGTCGTCCGACGTCTACTTCAACATTTATCCAAAACCTTTTAGACACTGCAAAATATCGCATTTCATAAAAAGTAAAAAGTTCCTAAGTGATTTAATGACAGAAGTGGACAAGCTTGATCACGTGCAATTAACCAGTGATCTTTACAAATTTTCAAAAAGCATGGACCTGTCCGAAGTTCCTGGTGACAACATCCAGTTGTTGTACAGAGCTTTACAGATAGACCTGGGATTGTGGTTGGAACGTAATACAGGCATCAAGTTAAACACAAAAGTGACAATGACAAGTTCTCGTTACTACGATACGGACTATTTACTGTGCCACGATGATAACATGTGTCACACCAGGAAGATAGCATTTATATTGTATTTACACAAAGGTTGGGGACTGCACGACGGAGGTAGTTTAGATATTTTTGACACAGACGAACACGGTCAACCCAGAGAAATAGTACATACAATTGTACCGGCTCACAATTCTCTCGTTTTCTTCGAAGTTTCGGATAAATCCTACCATCAAGTGGCCGAGGTAGAGGCTGCCAATAAATGCAGATGGTCAATTAACGGTTGGTTTCACGGTTCTTTGAGAAACGATCAAAAGGAGATAATGATAAAATTGTGGCCAGAAAAAGTATTTTTCGAACCAAGCGCTGAAGAAAATTTGAAATCGTGGATTAGTCGTAATTATCTGTCGTCTAATGTAATAAAAGATATTCACAAGAATGTGGAACAACAGTCTTACATATTGATTCCAACCTTCGTGAAGCCCTCTGTGTTTGAGATGCTCACGAACGCCATACAGGCGGAAGATATCACCTGGCGATTGGTGGGTCCACCTAACTTACGTACCTACGAGATAGCTGACGAGGAAACCTTGCCGTTATGTCTCAAACTATTTCTCAACATGTTCAAATCCAAATCCTTCTTTCGACTGTTAACTAAGTACACGGGACTCAGCTTGATGCCCGATCAGCAAGCTGTGAGACCTACAATGACAATAGAGCTGCAAAGATGGTCAAAAGGTTGTTACACACTTTTGTGTGATACTCGCAAGTTGGCGAGTTCCGATTCGGACTCGAGACTCGCTCGTCCTTCGGATGATGACACATCATTGAGAAGTACCACGAACACCACATCGTCGACGGACGTCGCATCACTCTCGAGGTCTGACGCGAAAATCAGTCCAACGAATCGAAATAAAAAAAGCATCAGTTCTCCTTCGTCTGATGGTACTTTCGGAAAGGTAGCCAAGTATTCCGACAGTCCTTCGGACGAAACATCATTGACTAATACCACAAACGTCACATCATTGACTAATACCACGAACGTCACATCGTCGACGGACGTCGCATCATCTTCGAAGTCTGACGCGAAAAGCAGTCAAACGAATCGAAATAAAAGAACCATCAGAACTTCTCCGTCCGATGGTATTTGCGAAAAGGTAGCCAAGTATTCCGACAGTCAGAAGAACGTCATCACCAGCTCTTCGAGTACAAACAAGGATGCAGAATTAACGAAAGAATCTTCTCCCGAGGTTCTTTCGTCGGACGACTCCCGATCCACATCAATTGACGATTACTTGTCGTCGGACATGGAGTTAAGCAACGGTTCCAGTGACGATTACACGTCCGATTCTGACGACAGCAACGCCGAATATGTGCTCGACGTTATACTGCAGTTTCACAACAAGTGTTCCCGCAAACTTAGCACTTTCGATTATGTGGACCCTAATAACGAGAACGGCGTTTTCATTCAAGTCCCGCAGAAAGACAATCATCTTTTGATAGTTTACAGACAGACGCGAGTGTATCGTTTCCATCCGTACATAAATCACCTGTTCGACGGTTACTTTTACAACTTGGTGTGCACTTATCGCGAATAGCGCGTAGTAAATGTCTGGAACAATATTGCGTCTTCGTCAATAAAACCGATATAAATCAAAAGACCGGTGCGTACCGCACAAGTCAATGTGGCAAACATCGTCGTTATTTGCATTCATATTGAAAATTAAGTTTTTTTGGTGAAACGCGCAACGTCATCTATCAGATATCATGGTGCAAAAATTTACATAACAATATATTATTGTTGTACATATTTGTCAGAACATTTACTTGTAGTCGCATTTGGTTTTTTTCCCTCCCAACAAAATGTAAATATATGACACATTTATAAATGTAAATACATATGTATGTGTTACACATACGAAATTGTTTGCTTCTTAGCGAACAAAATTATCAACATTTGTCACTCCACAAGCAAGTTCTCTTTCTTCACTCTCCTTTATTTATAGTAGAAAAAGAAATTGTTGAGAACCGATAAATTCTACTGTAACGGGAACACAAGAATTTTATATACAACAGAATGCGAAAAGTCCAAAGGACCAAATATTTCGAGAGAAGAGAGACACATAGGCTCTCTAAAGACAAGAGCCTTCCAACTCGCGCACGGCGTGCGGTTTGCGCCGTAAGATTTCTATGCGGTCACGTGATCAGAGTCGGAAGGCTCTGGACTCTAAGGGACGCAACGTGCAGGAAATCTTTTTAGCGTGATGTGTACACAATCGATCGTAACGTGTATCCCCTAAGCGCGCGATGTCGAAGAAGTTGAAACGTTTTATTAAAAAAAAACCGAAACGTCATCGTTTATCATCGGCGATTTACGGATTTGCGAAAGTTTTGCGACGGTTATTATTTTAATTAAAATTACGTGAGTTTTTGCAAAGGTGGTGAGAGATTAAGATATCGTAATGCAAGGAAACATACGCAGTTTGTTTTATTCGACGTGATATATACACACACATGAAGTAACAAACAATCGTTGTCATTTTGTGTCACAACAAACATTTGCGGGATTCATGCAATTGTGATGCAGGGAGAAAATTCAAGGGTTGAGCGAACGTTCGAGAAAAAAGTTTGCCGGGCGAATAGTTCGAGAGGATATTTGAAATGCGATAATTTTCGCCGTAAGTTTTCCCGGAAACTTTTCTTTCGAACCGTTCCCGAGTGTGATTTTTTTAACAGTTCGCGATGCGCAAGACGACTCGCTCGTTCGAACTCGAGATCGAACACGGAAAATTCTCCAACGGAATTTTCTCGCGGAAGAGCGAAAAGATCGAGAAAAAAAATGTGTGTGAGGGCTTACGTTCTGTGATCGTAGTCGCAATCGGTTTCAGGTTCCTGCACTTGGATCCTGGGTCGTGGCACGTTTCGCAGTTCCGCTGCGCCATCCCTGGTGGCGTTCCTCGCCGTAATCTGAGACGTGATAAACCGTTTCTTCAGTGCGAACGCGTTTCCGCGAGACGAGGATCATAATTTCGCACGAGCACACATACGTACGCACACTTGGCGCTCGAGGAAGTTTCGCGAGCGAGCGTGTTGAAGAAGTTCAGTCGCTCTCCCGTGCGAGCAAAACTGAAAGGGAAACTTTATCCGACCGTTGTTGTTCCTTTTGCGACGTCTTCTATTTCGAGCGCGATCGCGCCGGAAGCTATCAACGGAGGCGCACCTTTTCGATACGCGGCTTTCCGTTCCGGCTGATTTCGTCCGTCCGACATTCTTTCGAGCGGTCGTAAATCTAATCGTCCGATCGTCGTTTTGGTCGCCGGGAAGAAATACGAAGTGGTTCCGAATAAAAAAATTTCAGAGAAGAGGTTTCAGATCGTCACGAAGTAGCTGATTGTATTTTACGACGAAATATCTTTCGCATCGTCGCGATTGAGTTGTCGACAGAATTCGCGCGCGAATCGGACACGTTTTTTCTTTTTTTTTTTTTTATCGACAAACTGTGGTCTCGCTAATTAATTTCGTATAATTAAACGATTATATCGATTGTCGCGCGCGATCGGGACCGAACAGAGGAGAGGGATTGCACAGATATCGGTATTTTACTGATTCACCTGTGACGTGGAGGCGATCCCGGCCATTCGTTTCCGCAGCTCGTTCAGTTGCAATTCCTGCTGGAAACTGACGTCGCTTTCCTGCAACTCCTCTCGCTTACCGCTCTCGATGGATTCCGTCGAGTACTCGACCTGGACCCAGGGACAGATCGTCGGGGACGATTGCAGCGAGCCCTTGCTTCCGGGCCGGGACAGACGCGGGGAGAGTCGTCTCAGTAACGACACGAGTCTCGATCTAAAGCGATAGCGTTTGTCACTCGAGCGTAGAAAACGCGCGTTATATCGCGAATGTTTGATCGAGATTTATTTAAAAATAAACGTGAGATACGCGCGGGACAGATTCATTCGCACGGAAAATTTATCGAAACTTTCGCAAGACTCGTATTTTTAATAACAAATCTCGAATTGCGCGTCCCAGTTACATTTGAAAACCGCGTACGCACCGCTCGGTACAATGTTCCAACTTCGCTAATTGTTTCGCAAACATGCAGTCAATGTTATCCTCTTTTCCGTGCCGAGTTGAGTTTCTTCCCCTTCCTAAGGTTCTGCGTTTCCCTCGCACAAACCTTTCGAGCGCGAACGCGAGGTGTTTCTTCTAATTATTAATTACCGTATCCAACGCAAACTCTTCTCCGCTATATCATTTCGCGGCGCGTGTCGACACCGCTTCACCGCGATTCGCACATTCGACAGTAATCCCTCCTTTTCCTCCCCTCCCGTGATAAACCATCCACTGATTTCCTCCTCGATTCGCATCCCCGACTTGTACTTTTTTTTTTCGCTTGTCCAGCGCGCGAAACGGCGCAGCGGGCGTGTCTCGAATGAGCTTATCATAAATTATTTGCTTTCGTTGCGTGCGAGCGAAAACACGCCGGGAGATTGCACGCGAAGCGAATTGCGCGCGCGCGCGCGCAGATTAGTAAACATATACCCACCTCGTGCTCGGTGTTTGAAGATGATCGGAGGTGAGAGGCGCGCTCCTGGAAAGTTGCTCGGCGCTTCGCGTCGCGTCCCGCAACCGGTTCGAGCCGAAAGTGACGGATCTTCCGACCCGCCAGTCCAGACTGCTGCTCTGTCTGGCTTGCAGATCTGAAACGACGTTCCCGCCGATCATCGATCGCAAAACAAAAGAGAAATATCATTAAAAAAAAAAAAAAAAAAAAAAAAACGATGAAAAATTGTCCCGCAAAATTTTCGAACAAACTTCGAAGCGTCACGAAGAACCAATGTCACGCTCGATAAAAATGTGTGTCGGAGTAATAATAGCCGCGATAAAGCGCCAGTCGGACGAAGGTATCGCCATTTGTTAATGAACACTTCAGTGAGTCATATTTAATGGATTACCTGACTCGTTGGCTCCCGGCTCGACCCTCCAGTCCAGGGAATTACTATTTTTATTCACGCTATAAATGTTATCACAGGATTTGGTGGCAAGGTATGTCGCGTGATGACGACGTCTCAGCAGTCTTGACACTGGTCCCAAGTTTCTGAAGAAAAATAATTCCGACAAGTACTTTCCACGAGTCACGAGACGCGATATCGATGATGTCGAGAAAAAGACGTTTGAATTTATTATTTAAATCCCGAAAGAGAGCGATATTTGCGTCGCGAACGGAGCTTGCGCCACAAAGTTACCGCATCGCGCAATTTATATCGTCTCCTATGCGACAGTTTTTCATACTCGACCAAGAAAACGTCAATAGCATTGAGCAACTTTGTCGGATTTGTGTTGTGGAAAATTCAATTTCATTTCTGATTTTGCGACTCGGAAAGCTTTTTTCTACAGCACGCAGACAATAATGATAATAATAATAATAATAGTGAAATATTTTCTCATTTCAATTTTTTTTTTTTTTTTTTGAGAAGGGAAAACGCGTGCAATTGTGTCGTTCGTATGTGGCACCGAGAAAAGTAAAAACAATATCGCGAAAAAATAATATCGCGACGTGAAAATAATAAAATAATACGCGAAGCACCGAGATAGGCTGTTATCTCGGTGAGACCGGCCGTCGCCTGTATCGCGATAAGAGAACACTTCGATCTCGCGAACAAGTCGAAATCGCGAAAGGTAATAAAACGATATATATATATATATATACATGCTACACTCACTTCTTGAAACGTCGCGTCTGCTCGATCGGCGGTTTGCTCTCAATCGGTCTGCCGGTCGCTTCCGGTTCCGGCGGGCAATAAGTGCCGACTCGCACGTGGGTGTAAGCGGCGCGCAGCTGCACTCCATCCAACGGCCGGAACTTGCTGCGCTCGATGGACGAGACGCGCACGATCTCGATGTTCGGCCGCGCTTCTCCGCCGCTTTTTCTCTCCATGATCGATGAGCGGGCGCGATGAGAATCGCTCATTGACAACGACGAGGACAACGAAATACACCGGGGACGCACGCCGGGGAGAGTTCAATTGCTCTCGACCTTATTGCCCGTCCGATGGCGATGATGATCTCTCACATATCCCCCTCTTCCACGCTTATTTTCCGTATTACAAGCGTTCGCGTGTTTTTCTCGATGGCGCGTCACACGTGCAACACCGTGTGTGTGTGTGTGTGTGTGTGCGCGCGATCTTTCGATCTCGTTCGCGCAGAAAGTCGCACTGCGGCCGAATTCTCGGTCATGGAATTTTTTTTTTCTCGATATCAATTGGTGTTTTTATCTAAACGGCGATCGCGACGCCGCCGCCGCCGTCGCCGCCGCCGCTGCTGCTGCTCCGGTCCTCTCGATTTACGCGCGCGCACCGCCCCATTCCCGCTCGATTCGGTTCGCTGTGTTTTTCGCTTTTTTCTTTCTCTTTCTCTCTCTTTCTTCTCTTTCCCTCTTTCCGTCCCTGCGCCGCGATCCGGGAAGAAAAATGCACGGGTCACGTTCATTCATCCCACGGAAAAAAAAAAAAAAAACAAAAAGACCACGGCGCAATTATCCCGTCCGTTCGTCGCGTGATCGCGCACGCGAGCGAGTGCGCGCGATTCTAAATTGAATTGTTCACACGCGTGCTAATTAAATTAGATACACTCTGGTCTTTAAATTTCGTGCGCGTATATTATGCGATCGTCGCTAATTTTGACTACCGTGTGAATTATCAAACGTTAAATGCTTTAATTATCGCTCTTACGCAATAATTTCAGTCTCCAAATCTATAGCGTCAAACTACTTTCTCCGTTAACATTGTTGAAAACAAATGCGTCTTAAAATCGTGTATATTTATTAAATCGTTAAATTTTCATCAGAGCGTGAATCAATTTTGTTTTATCATTTAAGTTAGCATCAAAGATTTGAATAAAGTGTTTCGTAGATGGTGGAATTGCTATAATAACCGAGCTTTCCAAAACCGAAATTCTTCTCACTAGTTGTTGGAATATCCATCTTCTTTTAATAATCTTTGTGTAATTCGTAATACTCTCGCAGGCGAAAAATCGAGTACCCCGTTTCTTTCTTCGTGACTGTGTGTGTCACGAGAGAGACGATTTACCGACGACACTTACTGACGCGCTTCTTACGAAATCGAGTTTCTTCTCTGTATCACATCGTTTCGCACTTGAACACGTACCGACCACTCTTTTCTTGCCGTCTACAAGCACATAGTAAACAACATTTGCCCGAACTGGCACAAACGACACTCAAATCGTCACTTTACGTCAGTTTTTTTTTTCGAAGAAGGGTATCGATTTCGCAATCACTCGCAACACTTCAACTTTATTCTGTATGAAAAGATATGACACGATTAATAAGGATGTGTCGGGAACGGAGACACTGCGATGGAATTTCACTTTTGTGAAAAAATTTATTTACAATTAAAACAAAATACATGTAGCGCGTGGGTGTGTAAATTCTGTTTTTTTTTTTCAGTTTTTAAATTTCCACGATCTTCTTGCGAAAATTTTTGCGTTGTTTTCATTACACGCGGTTACATCACGATTTCTCGCGCGCGCGCACATGCGCGAACGTACGCGCTCAATTGCAACGCCTCGGCGCGCGCGTGTTTATTGTTCCGCGATTGAAAAATCGCGCGCTCGGATATATATAATCAGACGTCGCGCCTGACTGCCGTACAGAAACGGTAAGTACAGTACTCGCGCGTTGAATGCAAATCGTATACATATATTCGCTATTCACGCGACACGGTCCATCGTGTCTTTTCTCTCTGCCGTTGTATATTTCTCTATCTAGCGCACACGCACAGGCCTTCCCACCCGATACCGCCCGTAACGATGCTCGTCCGTCCGACCCAAATCGCGGGGAACTGCCACGAATAATGCAAGTCAATTGACGCCGATCGAATTAACTCGGGACCGACGATGATGACGGCTTTCTCGCGGCTTTTCGCACGCGAGACGGACCTCACGCGACCGAATATCTACGTCGTTTCTACAACGAACAACAACTCGGAAAAATCGTCTTCCGACGATTGCGCAACGATTTGTCGAACAAAATTTATTAATATCGTTATATAAAAAAAAAAAAAAAAAAATAATTCAGTTCCTTCGCTACTTTCACGCCGTTCCAACAACGCACGGAGATCCTCCGCGGAACTCGCTCGATCGCGCGCACTTAATTACTGACCTGTTACGATGTTTACGACTGGATGACTTTCAGAGAAGGCGTTTCTCGTCAATGCTATTCGCGTCGTCATCGCGCTCGAAACCTCACGTTTTCCATTGACGGCTCGCGGGTGATTAACGCGACCGGCAATTGCGCTTAATTGAACATCCAGTCCCGGAGCAACTATCCGGAAATCCCGTCGATTTTCCTTTCCGAAGCACCGGAGGCGGAATCTTTCGGACGAGCTTCGTCGAAGAAGCGCGATCTCTTTCGTTTCAACTCTTCGTCCTAATTTCGCCCTTTGGGAGAAATTTCATAATAATACACTCGCATTCGGAAAGGTCAGAGGAGTCTGTTCTAAAATCGTGTATAAAAGGGCTATATTTATCCGCGAGGACGATCACACACACACATACACGCGCGAGTGCGCGTCCGGCTTGACGTCACACCGATTCCGTTGTGAAATTTCTCTATGACCGAATGTGTAGCGAAAAGGTCACTGACACACACCGAACCGTTGAATCGTGAGTTTAATTATTGCGCCGTGCGCGCGCGCGCGGCGAATCGCGAGCGGAATTACATTGACGGCGCGCGCGATGGAATGTGTTTCCGCGTTGTTTTTTTTTCTTTCTTTACGAATGCAAATACAAATGCGCAAGGTTGCCTCGGCCGCGAAATTAATATTCAGATATATTGCGCGCGAGTGCAGATGAGAAGTCTGATTCGCGAGAGTTGCGCATTTTTCACGTGCGTGCGCTCCGTCGTGGACGCGATCGAGTTCGCTTCTCGAATTTTCGTTTTTTTTCCTGAAGAAACTATTTTTTGCGCCCAACTGTTTTTCACTTATCTTCGCGACGCTTCTGCATTATCTTCGCGCGAGTATCGATCAGCGCGCTTCTTTTTCGCCGATAAAAAAAAAAAAAAAAACAATCGAGATAAAACACGGCGAAACAAAGAAGAAACGAGCTTTTTTATATCGAGCACGAAATATTTACTCTCTGCGGCGTATTATGTATTCGTCTCTGGTGAAAAATGCACTTGAGTAGCTTTCGAGCGTGCTAGAAAAAAAAAAAAAAAAAAAAAAAAAAAAACTACAACCTGCGATAACGTTTGACGGGGAAACTCGCGCGAATTTTTCAGCCGCGAAAGATAATTACCCCGAATGGGCTCCTACGCGAATAGGTTTCGTTGCGGACTGCGAATCTTTTTAAAAAGGAACTGGCGAGGCAGTACAGCGTGAAGAAACAAGTTTGTTGCCGCTTGTGCGCCGTTTGACACCAAACGGCTTCTTCTTCGGGCTTAGCGCGGTCTCCTCCGTTGTTACGTCACGCGTAAAGGGCCACGTCGGAGAGACACGTCGAATTGCGACGAGTCGCACGAGACCATTGAGATTATGTGTGTCGGACTACATTCCCGTCAAGGCTGCACGTCGACGACTGTGTGGGCGAGAACGGTTTCGAAAGGTATCGTCTGATTATCACACACGGGCGGCGATTACTGCGCGATGCGACTTAAAACGGACGGCGAGCCGCGCGAACGTCGCGATGACACTTGTACGCGCGCGAACGACGTAAGTATATCGCCTTTTATCGGCGAGTCTTATCGGAGTCTCTCTCGAGAATCGTTTCGACGTGCGTAGAGCAAAATTCAAGTTGTACGCTCGTTTCGCGATGACACGTACGGAGAACAGGATGTCTTTTGATGTGTATTTTTAGAACCGGCGCGCGGTATGAAAGCGCGGCTACATCCAATTTTTTATGTTTTCGCGTCGACGCGGAAGTAAAATTAGAAAGAGGCGAGAAATACGAGTTTAACCGACTTCTCGCCGGAGAATTATAGCGAGGCTGAGATTTTAACATCGGACGAAATCGGAGGAGAGAAATAACACCGCGCGAGGAATAAATCGAAGTTTACAGCCGTGAAGTTTCGAGACTCGGACGAGAGCCGAGCGGGAGTGGGAATCCCCCCAGAAGCCCCGAGTTAAAAGGTATCGTGCGTGACCGCGTAAACAGAGAGAACATCGCTCACTCGCGTAATAAAAACTTCAGAAAGGAAAAAGATAAATGGAGAAGAAATTTTAAACCGCGCCGAACAGCCGCGTGACGAATCGACGTCGTGAAGAAAAATTGAAAGAACTTTTTGCGTGTAGTTTTTCGTGGCTCCATCTTCTTGAATACTCGCGAGCAGCACGTTTTTCGAGACACGTGTAAGAAAAAAAAAAAAAAAAAAAAA